TTTAATTAAGACCCAAAATGTGAGCCTGATAAACCCACAGTAATAGCACTGTGGATCAACCTGCTGCCTGTTTGTTCAGACTTCCAGCTTTCTCAGTAAACTTCATGCCACTCCACTGTCTGTCCCTGTGCTGTGAACACCGTTCCCCTTGTAAAGGACCTCCCCCACACACTCACGTTCACTCCCACAGCCAAGTGTTTCAACTGGACACAACAATTCTGCTGATTGGACACTTCCAGGGCGCATTCACAAACAGAGAAGGCTAATGTGGTATTCACTGAACAAAATGCATTGGAACCTTTAACACTCTGTCAATGCCCCCAACACCAATGATAAACCTACTAATGATAACATGCATCTTGGGTAACCAAGTGCTCATCAGGTAACAGGCAGTACACATCTAGAGCTAATGTCCACTTAAATTGAAAATTTAAAAATATAGAATACACGCTTCATCCTGAGCAAAACCCATTTATATGAGTCCACATGAATTTCTTTGCCACCACGTGTCATTCTGTTTGATTGGAAAATGTTCATTATATAGACTCTAGATTTTTTGCGCCTTGTGTGTACGGCTGGATCAACATCTTATGACAAGTGCTTCTCTGATATTTGCCTTAGAACTTACAGAGGCCATAATTCACTTGAGTGAGTGTATGCAGGGCCCCGGGCCCCGAACACGTATCTACCTGTGAACTGCTCATACCTCTCACAACTGGTCAATGACTGTATCAAACTGCATCAGGTGTTTTCTACATGCTTTTTCACAGATTCTATGAATTATTGGAGTATCATTTTTAATGTCAATGGCTCTTAAGCTTCTAGTTGTTTTCACATTTTTTCTAGATGTTTTGTGTTAATATTGTCTATTTGACTTTGGTATTTACTTATTCTTGACAAAGACCTTTATAATTCTGAATGCTTTGACCCTCATAAACTAAAATGGCTTAATAATCATTGTAAATATTTTATTGTGCAAAACCCATTTTTATTTGTTTTGATTGTTGAATTATGACAATGGCTAGACACAATTTCTCTTTATGAAATAAAGATTCATACATATCATTAACTTTCTGTCTGTGTTGTAAATGAGCATTAAATATGTTGCCACTACTGCTTATTGTGTTCAAAATAATCCTGTAATGGGACTGAAGGTCCTCAAGAGGGCAGTGGTGACTGACAGTAAGCATGTGTATTGGTCACTTCGCATGAACCCAAGTGACCAGTGCATTTGAGGAATACATTTACATATAAGTCAAGTACATTTGGATGCTTGCTACTAAAAGAAATTAGACAAAGGTTTTGAAGATCTTGTTGTTTATTAGAAAAGTTATGTATAGATATAATAGTACAATAGTTACAATTCAGGCAACTTTCAAACAAGCCATCAAATTTGAAGAACCCTTCCTACAGATTGTTTTATTGGGTTTGATAAACTATAGTTTTGAATGCCACTAATTCAACACATTAGGATTACAATCATATGTCATTTTAGTCTCATTTTATGAGCTCCAGGTTTGCTTTAAGCCAATATATTCTTTTGCCATAAAATATAAAACAAGTTGCAACTGATGAAAACCACAGTTGAGATATCATGTGCACAAAAAGGCCAGTGGAGTTTGAGCTGTATAGAGCTGGTTCTGGGTGAGAGGAATCACTTTTTCATGATGGAGGACAACTCCAGGATCATGCTCTGTGGAAACACACACAGCAGCATCAGTCACTGCAGATCCTTCAGACTGTATGTAACCTACACTGTGATAAACATGGTACAACTGAACTTTAGACAAGTATTCAAAGACAGGTATCTAGGACATCTAGGAAACATAAGGTAGGACGTTCAAGTCTTTTAAACAGTACTGGGACAATCACAATTTCAGAAATTGCTCAATTTCAACTAAAGGAGCCACCCTCACAGACACCTAACAAGCAGAGTGTCTCACCATGGACATCCTGCGGCCAGCAGCCGGAGGTGGAGGGGTGTCAGCAGGACTCTCTTTCTGCGTCAGGTGCTGTGGTTCCAGGTCTGTGCCACTCTGGGAGTCCCCGCTGTTAGATGAAGAGGCCAGCTTGCCCTCAGACATGCCTCTGGACATAAAGCTGCATTTGCGGGCAGTGGGGTAGTGTCCACTCTCTGGGGAGGTGCTGGTATCGCTCACCTCCTTGCATGCGCTCACCTTACTGGGCTTTCTCTGCATGTTCCTCAGGGCCGCAGGGATCTCCATGTGGCCAGCCATTAGGGTGGGCCTCGGCTGGGCCCCGTACTGCAGCACAGGGGGGTGGGCCCCAGAATCCTCACTGCTGCATGACACCTTACGATGCTCCATGCTGGAACATTAACGTCACCCTTACTTTTAAAACCTTCTCAAGCCTTTGTTGCTGTAGTATCAGTTAACGGAAAAACGCTTTCTTACTCTGAAACTAACTGCTGTCTGAGGAACAAGTTGGATTATAACCATTTTTAAATGCTGTACAAGAAACAATATTACATATCTTTAATACTCCTCATTACAAGTATGCATGATGCTGTGGTAGGAGAGCTATTTGGCAAATAACATGTTACCTTTTGCAGTGCCCAGGGAACCTCTGCTCCCCAGCCTCCACATCCCCCTGATTCTGGGCCTGCTGGCTGGCCCCGTCCTGGCTGTGTGGGGGCCCCTGGGCCTCAGACAACAGTGGGCAGCTCAGGTGAGTGAGCTCCATGAGCTTCTGAGGAGACGAGTGGGATAGGACACAGATCTGCTGAACCATGGAGTTCTTCTTGGATGGACAGACGCTCTCCTCTTCATACCGGTATCCACCATACAGGCTCTGAATGATCTGCTTAACCCCCAGATGAAAGATCTCCAGCAGGTTGAGAAATAAGGACACTCCAGCAATCACCAGCATGAACACCATGAAGATATTCTTCTCTGTGGGGCGAGACACAAAGCAGTCCACACTGTTGGGACAAGGTGCACGCTCACACTTGTACAGAGGGGACAGTCCCACGCCGTAGAGCACACACTGTCCAATGATGAAGCCCACCTCCACCACAGAGCGGGTCAGGATATGGAAGACATATGTTCTGAGCAAGGAGCCCCTCAGAGGAGCCTTTCTCACCCGCTTCTGCTCGTCTAGTTTACGAAGCTCACGTTCGATCCTCTTGTGCTCTTCTTGGACTGGGTCAGTCCCCTCCAGCTCTGCCTTCAAGAAGGCCTTCTTTCTGTGCCTCTCCTTCTCCAGTGTCCGCAGCCGGTACAGGGCATGTCCCATGTAGACCAGAGAGGGGGACGAAACAAAGATGATCTGCAGGACCCAATAGCGGATGAGGGAGATGGGGAAAGCCTGGTCGTAGCACACATTCTTACAGCCGGGCTGTTCAGTGTTACATACAAACTCACTTTGCTCATCGTCCCACACATCCTCCGCTGCCACACCAAGCACCAGCATCCGGAAGATGAATAGAATCGTTAGCCAGATCTTTCCCACAATGGTGGAGTGAATGTGGACCTCTTCAAGAATGCTCCCTAGTAAGTTCCAGTCCCCCATCTTCTGTCACATTATCACCTGTTGGGGAAAAAATCATCATTAAAATCTACCATCACCCGCTTCAAAAAGCATAGCCTGTCACTTAACTTCATTAAAAGGTTTGCAAAATTTTTATTCAGGCAAACCTTGCCCTACTGTTGTAATCAAACATTTGCAAATGCTTTTCAAAAACTCATGTCATAAAAATTACAGGCCATATCAGACAGCCCTGTTGCATTTAAAGGGTCATTATTTGACTCTAACCTCTGAAATTTTTCATGACATGTGCGGGGGATCCTCTAGTGACTTCAATAACTTTTCACATAACACTTTTTAATTAATTTAATTTAGTGGATAGACTTTTTTAATATGGGGTCATAAAAGCTAACAGTTATTATCATGGGGTTACAACAGAAAGCTTGACTACCACTGATAAGGCATAAGTCGTCTCTCAATTATGGCAAACATAATGACCACTAAGAAGGGTCCCCGCAAAGCTACACACGGCATTATCAAATTATTTTAAGAACTAAAACTACAAAGCCAAACATCTGTAAAATAGTTTTGGTGATGACATACCTTCAACGTGTAAGAAAATTCGGTCCCTCTGAGAAGACCTCACATATTCTGGGACAGCGTTTGGATCAGCTGGACACAGGTGGGGTGCAAAGCCATCAGTGGACATGAGACAATCCTCTGGAGACAGTAGACCTCTCTGTATACATGGAGCTGGCCCTACATCGGTGTTGTAGCAAAATAGGACTAGTTTGGAGTGATCGATGCACCACATGACCCTGGACTTCCCTGAGGGTCTATTCACCCACACCCACTGTCTGCTGGAAATAGCACATCAATAAACCGCTTTTCACAACATATTAATTCAGCATTTGATGGGATCTAATGACAGGTTCAGACCAGGTTTATACCAGTGAAGCTAATGGCACTCACATGGACAACAGGTGTGAATTAGAATCTGTGCTACAACCTGGCATCAGCAGCTTTACTTTGACTTTATATATTTTGCGTTAACACCATGGCTTTAATTATTCACTTTTGCACACACTCACTTGCCTAATATTTGTTGTATTTCTAATAGAGCTACCCCACAGTTTCTATAGTGTCAACCAGTATATCAGACTGGTCCAGATTCAGAAGTTTTAGAAACTTGACGTTAAGCAGCTTGGAGTGGTTTGACAGTACAGACAAAAGCAGAGTCTGCCACCATGGTCTTCCCCCTCTCATTGTTGCTCCATTACAAACGCTGCCCCAAGGCACTGGCCTCAATTTCCATACTTTGTGGCCCACTTGTGCAGATTGGTGTCACGCTCATCACCAACAGTATGTCACATGCTTGGCACTTTTACACAGCTTATAGTGAGTGTCCCTCGTACTGAAAATGTAAAGATCAAGAGACTTAAAAAGTAGGTAGCTTTTATAAACTTTACTGCTTCAAACATTAGGAAAGTTTTCAATTATTAAAAACAGTAGAATAAATAAATAAAACTTTATTTTAGTAAAGAATTATGTACTGTATTCATAATACATAATAATAGATTTCAAAATGTTTCCAATCAAAATCAAGAGAAAACAGGAATTATACAGAATGGGACAACCTTTACATTGATCAGTTCACTCCTCAAACATACAATAAAACTATAACCACAAACGTCTGGTCTGCTTCAAGTCCAGCAACTGAAGTCACTGATATAAAACCTTCTAAAAAATCAGATGAGGGCCTGATATCATGTGGTCAGAGTGATGCCAATGTAGCACATTGACAAATACTGTCATCATTCAAGAATGTTAAGTTTAAAACAATGCTTACGGTAGATTGTACACTGTCTGTTGCACAGCTCCACCAGCCTCAGAACCTAGTAATTATTTCATTTTGTAACATGAACCACATTTCGTCCAAGAGGCCACACAGAATGAACAACCGTCCTTGCTTGTGGGGCTCATGCCCTCTGCAGGTCTTGGGTCACATGGGTTACAGTGCTGCAGCTTTAGATGTACTGATTCACAGTGGACGCTCAATAAGCACCATACAGTGCACTCTCATGTGTCCAACTTCTCCTGCTTTTTAAAGAGTTTCATGAGCTGGTGGAACCGTTGAGCAATCTGGGGAGAATAAAAGGAAAGCGTTCATTGGGAATGCTTTGTAAAGATTAGAGGTTGGCAAAAAATTAGCAATCATATTTGACCAGTTTTCTAACATTACAGTCCTTTGAAAATTTTAAGCAGAAGGAATAAGTAAAAGGCATGTTTAGCACAATTCTGCTAGACTGAGAAAACTCTTCAGAATATTGTTCTCAAAATAGTTTAACATAAGATGAAGAGATTTTCATTTGTTTCAATGTTGCCCATCCATTGTAGCTCTTGTGAAAAATAAATTAAATGCGTTACATAGAAACCCACCTGTCCAGAGGGCTTGTCCAGTTTTTCAGACAGGAATGCAAAGGTCTCCCGAGAAGCTCCTTTGGTCTTTAACTCAAGGAGAATCGTTCGATCCTCTTCCCTGAAAAACAAAATCATTAGCCTTACAGTTTTAACAACAGATTCTGATTTTTCAAGAGAAATTCTCACCTGGTCCAGGCCATGACCACCTCCCCCTTCCTCCTGATGACATTTTTGGCAGACAGGCTGTTGGGGGACAGAGCCTCCTCTCCTGCTCCCTCAAGGTTAACCCCTTGTGTATTGTCCTCGTCAGTCCTGCATTTCTTGGCTTTGGATTTACCCTGGTTCCTCTTCCTCTTCCTGTCCCTGCATTTGTGGACTTGTGACTTCTCTGGTGTAGACTCTAGTTCCTCTGCGATGGTGAGACTGCGCTCTGACTCGGAAGCCACCTCCTCTCTCTCAGAGCTGGACACCTGTCTTGAAGGAACCTCAGAGGAAGTGTCTTGTGCCTGTTCTGACAGACAGTCCTTATCTTTTCCTGTCTTATCCTTGTGGACTGACTTAGCTGTGGGATGAATATTGTTAGGAGAGGGTTCTGATTTAGATATGTCAAATTTTTTCTCTATGTCTGATAAATTGTGTTTTATAGAGTCCTGCTTTGCTAAATCTTGTTTTTGTTCTTCATGCAACTTATTATTGTCTTCTATTTGAGTATGGATGCTTTCTACCATATTATTCTGTGTCTGACTTGATATAACACTGTTGGATTCAGGTTCCTCACAGTCCATTTCCTCGGTCAGTGTTTCACTTAAACTCTCATTTGCTGTTAGTGTAGTATTAGCACTTGAAGCTGGTCTGATCTTAAGAATAAACCGCTCATTGGATCTCTCCATGACCAGCGCTTGCATGGGGAGCTCTGGTTTGAAGAGGAACTGTGTAGGTGCTCCTTGAGAACCCACACTGGCACTGGAGCCACAGCTGGAATTGTCTGTATCTAGCGTGAGGTGGATGTCGTGCTCTGTGGCGTCCGCTTCGTCCAAAAGAGCATCTTCACTGATGTGAGCACTCAGCACACTGTCTGGGGTGGACAGGACCTGCATGGGAGGAGGCTGAAGGAAGCTAAGGTGACTGTCGGATTTCAGGGGGGACGGGATGGTAAGCGACACAGCCAAATCTTCTGCCAAAATAGAATAAGGTCTTTGGATGGTCTTGTTTTCCGAGGGTACTTCCAGCAAGCAACTTTCATCAAACAAGGCCGGGTTGAGCAGAACTTTGGAGTTTGGTGAGGAGAGCTTACGTGGCGAAATACTGGACCATGTGGTGATCAGCCTGGAGGGACTTTCGAATTTGTTTGGGGACAACAGTTTCGACGGGGAGTGGAATTTACCGGGCGTGGTGATGGTTATGATCCTTTCCCCGTCTTTTCTCGGAGTACTCAGCGTCCAGGTGCTTTGGTCCGCCACTGCAGCACTACTATCCAGCAGGTCGGACCCCTGGAGAAGGCACTTGAAGATCTCACCCATTTGGGAGTCGCGTACCAGGTTGAATGTCAGACTAGTGGCCTGTTGTTCGGTGAGAAGCTCGAAGTCGGTTTTGTCTAGCATGGATGCGTTGTGTGCTACCACTAAAGATGTGTTGCCCTTTTCTGGAGTGGGCGGGACAAAGCTGACTACCGCACCTGGTTCTGTTCCGCTCTGGTCATCAGTATCGTCACTGTGATCCAGTGTGATTCGGATGCCCTTTCCTCTGCTTCCCAGGCCAGTTCTGAAAGGCACAATGGCACACTGTTTACTCTTACTGAAGCCTGGAGAAGAATTCTGTTCTTTCCTCTTTACAGGGGACTCTTTACACCGTTTGTCACTGCCCTTTGAATTTCCATGCTCTACTGGAGCTCTGGCAGGCTTACACATACTTTTTAATGCTGTGTTAACATCTTTGAACAAATAGTCAACCTGAACATCTACAAAGTCCCACAGTTTCTGCTTTAGGTCCACAGCCTGCTGCTCAAATATGCGCTTCACAATGCCATTATTTAGCACCTTACTGAAAACTGACACAATTATGTTCTTAAGCTTGGATTTTAATTCTTTCGTTAGGTTGCAAATCTGACCAAAATCTGCGCCATCCACAAATTCAATGAAAGACTCCTGGAAGTTTTCCATAACTCCATAGAAGCTTTTCTTGGGAAACGTTTTGTGTAGTTTCATGTACTTCTTGCGGATCTCAGCGCGCACCAACTTAAATGTGTCCATGACCTCATCAATGCTGCTGAAGGTAGCTTTAGTTGCAGCTGGACAGACTGTTTTAAAACGACTCTTATTTGGTGGGCTTTGTACAGAACCCGGTGATTCCTTGGCTTCCTTAGCCGAAACGCTCTTCTCGTCCATTTTGTGCTTTAGGACACACTTTGGGCTGGCCTTGGTTCTGATGGGCCGTGTTAACTTGGTCTTTTTGCTTGGAGGAAGAGGAGATACAGCTTCGTCACTCTCGCTCAGGATTTCCCCTTCCTCCAGTTCGGGGTCCGAGGGCACGGCTAAAGCCACTGGGTCAGCTTTAGCAGGGGAACCAGGCTGCTTGTTTTCTTTGTTCACATCCACCTTCTTTGATATGCCATCAGGGGGCGCACTGGAGAACTCTGCAAAAACACACAAAATGACTTCACACACTGCACTCAGTTCACACCATTATCTTTACAAACAATAATTCCCTGAGGGTAAAAACTATATGTAAACCATATGTATGTCTATTATGTATGTATATTACTGACAAATGTGAAATTACCCACTAAAGTGAGAGGTTTGCTACATTTTTTAATTACCATTTTTAATTTTAAAAAATCATTTTTGCAATTTTTTTTTTAAACTATATTCTCAATATTCTAGTTTTGCATATTTCCAACTCAACAAATATTCCCCTAGTGTTAAAAACATGCAAATGTATGAGATTTAAAACATTCTAACTTGTCAGAAAACTAGCAAACTTACAGTATTAGGACAAATACCAAACCATAAACTTTGATGAAAATAGTATACTCCAAGTCAAAGCTCACAGCAAATTCCTGCTACCCTAGAGGGTCGTAACAAATTTTTCTCCATTACTCTATTACTACTCTGAAATATGATGTCCCATTTTCTTCTTTTCCTTTGTCCTATGTTCAAAACCACCATAAAACAACACAGACTCTTTACAAAATATGAGATGAGAAATTCCAAAACTCAGCCATCTTTTACCTTTGTGGAGGCTCTTGACATGTCCTGGCTTCTGCAGATGGTGATGGTTCCTCTTTGAGATCCGGATTGGGCTCCTGAGGGGGCTGATGGCATCGGGGATCCTCTTCAGGCTGCTGAGCGTACGCATCATGGAGTCTTCGTCATGGAAAAGAGGCACTGAGCTGGATGGCTTAATGCACTTCTCAACACTCTTGGCTGGGCTGAAGAACTTGGCTGGACTGAAGCTCTTCTTTGGCGTTTGACTGATTTCTGTGTACCTTTCCAAAGCTGAGGTGTCCTGTGTTGTACTGGTCACTTTAGAAACTTCACTGCAACTAGGAGTAGTAGATTCTGGATGAACAGTTTTACTGCTGTTTTCATTATTTTCGGTCAGTAAATTAATGGCTTCAGGTAAACTAAGACCTTCTTGAGGCAGAGATTCCAAGCTTAGGGAACTGGACACCAACTCTACTTCTTTAGAGGTTGTCTCTTGACCAGTTGTCTCTTGACCAGAACCCTCTTTAGTCTGAGTGACAGGGGAAGAAGCAAGAGGAGTATTCTGAGGTAAATCTGGAGACACATTTTGAACATCACACTTGTCTTCCATGGTTTTGGAAACTACATCTTCCATGACTTTACTGTTGGTGGTATTTGATATATTATTTGATGCTGCAGCTTCAGTTGGGATCAGTGAAATAACATTTTCAGTAGTTGTTATTGTTTCTTTAACAGCCTCTTGACTCTTCTCTGTCATTGGGCCCTTTACACATTTTGGCAAACTGTCTTTTTGAATCTCTGTGCCTTTACTGGTGGAAGTGGAGTGAACAGAATTGTCTTCTAAAATTTCATTTTCAGAAGTAGTACTAATGCTATTGACGATTGTCTCTTTCTGAGAATCAACATTTTCCCCCTTTTCTGGTGTTGTTTTCGGATCCTTGTCGATTGGTTCTACATGCTCCCTGGATGCAGCCTCTGTTTCACTGCTGTCTACTTCATCAATTACACACATATCCTCCATGCTGGGCAGAAAGAGACTCTCCTCCACCTGTGTTTTAGTTGCAGCTACAAGAGTTTTTTGGCCACCCTCACTGTCCATTTCAGGCTTTTTTACCGGAGACAGCGTTAGATTCAGGGTCTCCATAAAACATAGCTTTCTGTGGGGGCTATTCTCCTCTACAACAACCTGCTCAGCAACAGTCTTTCCTTTTGAAGGCATTTCCAGGGGTTTTGACTGTTTCTTACTGTGTTCCTTTGACCTGTGCTTTTCTTTTGAATGTGAGTCTCTTCTACGTCTTCTACCATCATCTTCATCCCTCCGCTCCTGCCGTCTTTCTCTGCTTTGCTGGTCTTTGGAGGGTCTACGCTCTGTTCGAGAGTAGTCTCTGTGGCGCTTATGCTCTTTAGAGTCTGAACATCTGCTCTGCCTGTCCCTAGTCCTGTCTCGTCTCTCTTCTCGAGACTGGCCTCCTTTTGAAAGATGACCTTTACCTCGATCTGATTCTGATGTGAGAACATTACATTTTTTGTTGCCACTTTTGGAATCCCCTGAATTTGATGTCTGGTCTTTGTGAGAGTATCTTCTCTCATGTCGATCAATACCGGAATTTGATGTTGTATTATTTTTTCGCTCAAAATCATGTCCATGTCCGTGTTTTTTATCTTTATGTTTATCAGTCTGATTATTGTGCCTTTCTGATGAGCGGCAGTCCTTTCGTGAGAAAAACTGCTCAGAGTTCAACTCTGGCTCCATGTGCTTTTCTCTATCTCTTCTGAGTGAAAATGGGACATCCTCCCTGAGTGGTGATACGGGTAAAGGTGGGGGAGGGGGTGGAGGACTTAGGGGAGCAGGTGGGAGTGGTGGCATGTCAGGCAGATTTGGGGTTTGTTTCGGAGGAGGAATGGGTGCAGCAGTGTCTGGAGGAGGGCGATTCCGTGATGTGACATCCTTGGAGTGAGGAGGCTCCGAGGTAGCAGGAGCTGAAGGTGGAGGTGGTGCAGTTGCAGTCTGTTTTGAAGGCAACAGTCTGGGGCGGGATGAGGGCTGTGAGGTAGATGAAGTTGGAAGGACCAAAGGATGTGGAGCAAGTCGCTGGTTCTCAGTGGAGCCTGGATCTCGCAGGTTTCGAGATTTAAGGTAGGGACCATTTCTTGATCTGTAATTACATATAAATACAATTACAGACCATGTACAGATAATGTATTATAGATTTGCAATACATTCAACAAGGTGAGAGTAAAAATGGAACAGAAATCACTAACCTACTATTAAAAGGAAATTAAAAACAGGATTAACTTACTCTTGGTTTAGCCTTTGAATCTCTGCATCCTTCCTTATGACCTCCTGCCTGGCTGTTTGAAGAAGAATGGAGATGTTCATCTTTAGTCGATAATTCTCTTTGGACAAACCTGTGTTCTGAAAAACAAAAATACAATATTTAATGTGACTTCTTGCCAAAGAGTTCGGAATATATATGTAGTATTTAACACCATTCAAATGTGCAACATATACCAACCAAATAATTTTTAAAAATTAGACAAACCTGCAATTCTAACTGCTCCAGTCTTCTGTGTAACTCCGTGATTTGACTTTGGGCAGCCTGAAATCTTGACTTTAACTGTATAAAAAAAAAAAAAAAAAAAAAAGTTATTAAAGGTAATGTCTCATTTAAAAATGATACTTTAAATAAATATACTGAGTAACACATTACCACATTACCTCAGAGTAAGATGCATCTTTGCTCTGTTGTTCCTCTGTGACAATTTCTTCAAAAAGATCCATGGCCTCCTTAAGCCCAGATGGGGCTGATTTTACTGGAGTTACTAAACAAGAAAAGGGGTAAAAAGTCAAGTACAATCCAAGTATGTTTTTACTGTAATGCAAGACTCACCATTTTTGCAACCGGAATCAAAATCCAGGCCTTCATAGATATCTACAGAATCTTCATTACCATCAGGCACAAACACTGCAAAAGAACAAAAAAATAAATAAAAACATGCTCAGGCAACCTACATACATGCAACAGCTAACAGTAATAAAGGCAAAGGATCTTACAGGCTGGAGCATCAGTGGAATCCATGTTTTTTGCAGTACTGGCCACACAAAGCGGACCTACAACAAGGCAAGGGAAAGCAGGAGTGAAAATGTTAGTTTATTTACTTAACATTTTCCCTTATTTTTAAAATCAAAATAGCTATCAACAACAGTAATAAGGTATACCCTGACTTCACTCATTTGTTTACAAGCTTCAGCAGCATTAAGAGACAATTTAATCGATGAGCAGGAGCAATGATTTGTTTATTGTCATGGTTACAATACTGACAAATGCAGTAACGCTATATTATGAAGCACAATATTTTTTGCCAACAACCCATGTGCAAAAAAAATAGTTGTATCACTTGGTTTCTCTCCCAAACAATGAGATCTGCACCCTGCATACTCTGGATCGGGATTAATGGTAGGTCTATGTGTCCAAGAGCAAGTGGTCACCTTATATAAGAGCCATATGATTTGTAAGTATGTTATTATAATGCATATTTGGTGATTTAGCTGTTATAGTAGTTATATTCCCGTTTTACCTGCTCTCGTATCGTCGGGCCGTTGTTTACAAGCGTTGTGCCGCGCCAAGGCTTCATTGCACAGGAAGTAAGGACATTTTCCCGCGGTCTGTCACAGCCCAGCAGCTGCATGTATTCCGCCTCACTCCGCTTTGTCTCGCAGAACCGTGTTGGAAACGGACCGTGACGAAAAGCAGCTAGAAATATGCGATCGCGTTATGTCTCGAGTGGTTTAGATTGCCTTGCAGAGGGACGAAAGCGATGCAAACCACATTTCTGGCGCTAGAAAGTAATCGCACGGAGGTTTCGCTCGGAAGTCTACGTCACCATCACGCGACGACACCGGGCTGCTCGCACCGGAAGTAGTTGTTTCTCACTCACATGTGGACTGCCTTCATGCACTCGTGTTGTGATTACACTTGTTACAGAACAGATTGTAACATTTCTACTGTATTAACCGTATGCTGTTTTAAGAAGACATGTTAATCAGACATTTGTTAAGTAACTTTCTGTAGTGGCTTTGGTAAGACACATGGTGCAATGGAAAATTTAGAGCTCAGCCTGACATCACTGGGAACTATCTCCAAACATGTTGATCCAAGACATAACCAACTTACTCAGTATTTGTCAAAGCAGGTAAGTTATTAAGTACAATTGAATTTAAATACTATGTTGTTAAATCTACGGACAGTTTGTTTTGTCTTGTATTGTAACTCCATGTGTTAGGTGTGGACATGCTCTAAGCTTAATTATAAACCAGTTTACAGTAACAACAGGGCAGTGAGCTTGATCACTTTTAAACCGATAAAACATGTTTTGAAACCATTAATGTTGACTGGTTTTTGTACCTCAGATATGGAGTCAGCAGGACCGACAGTGTATTCTGGACTGTTTGGCTCAGCTCTTCTTGGAAAAGGACTACACTTTGTTGATAACACAGCACTTGAGGCCTCTTATTTTGGATTTTCTGGAAAGAAATGTGCAGAGAGTCAGAACTGGTGACAGATTTAACCATGACCTCCATGAACGCCTGTGTGTGGCTCTCAGTAAAGTCCTCAACATCTGTCCTGATGCTCCAGCGTAAGTCCACTAAATGATGAGTACACAGTATCACTCAGACATGAACATGTTTACATTATTTCTGTTGCTAAAGCAATACTATCTCAGTAGGTGGAACCCCTCTCCACTGAGAGATCAATAGATCACTGTTATTGGCAGTGTTTAATGTGTGTGTTCTTGGACAAGGCACTTTTGTCTTCTTAACTGTGGGACTGTGTCAATTATTGCTTGAGTTCTCTCTGTACTCACTTACTATATTATTATTCTATTCTTATCATTATGACAAGAATAATTAAAATGTCTATGTAAGCATTTTTCAAAATATATAATAACATTTTATAAAGTTGTTCTTGTCTATATAAACAATAATTACACAAACTATGTCTCTGAAGCTTTGCTGCTAGGTACTTCAGCAGCGCCCCTCCAGTATTCCAGAGACTGTTTTTCTCCAGTGAAGAGGCAGCGTCTGTGCAATATGGACCCCGGCGGATGAAGCTCCGGGACCTAATGGGGGCTACGCTTCGTTTTCTTCAAAGTGACTGTGCAAAATACAGATCCTTGTGGGACTGGAGTCCTTGTGTTTCCCAACTGCTCACCAGTGACCTCATGGTGCGAGGGTATGTATAACTCCAGACTCAACAAAAACATTTTGTAAATGATCATTTATGCAAAGTGCATTGGTATTTTTTATGCATTTCTGCCTTTAGCAAAAATTATATTTTAAACAGATTTTGTATTAAAAAAAATCCAGTGCCACTTCTCAGAGAATTGTTGTCAAGTTCACAAAATCATTTATTTTTTGTATTACAGGTACACGGCACAGTGCTTGGCAATGGTCTCTCTTATGACTGATAATCAGAAGGCCATTTTCCTCAGAAAAGTATTGTCCAGTGAAGAGATTCTGCACATGAAAATTAAGTAAGTTCAGTGGTTTTACTTTGAGTGGATGTTAAGGATTAAAAACCATTTTGATTAAGTTAATATGCTAAGGTATGTCCTTATAATGATTCTTTGCTTCTTTTAGGAGCTTTGAGGAAAGTCAGCAGCTGCAGGTGGAGAAGTCTCTAGTCTTAGCCAATCAAGGTTGTGCAAAATGGCACCAGGAAAAGGCAAATCGCTTCACCAGAGGTCAAGTGGTCTCCGAAGATCTCTGCTCTGATGTGGTGGCTGTGTGTGGAGTGGTTCTACCCACCATCTCTCCCCGACTGAACCAACAAGTACCCGTACAGGAACACTCATTCATTCAGACAGTTATTTTCTTCATCTGATGCTATTCTAAATATTCTTTGTTTAAGCAGACAAACCAAAAAGACCTAGTGCTGGTGGACTCGACCTGTCAGAATCTGAGAAGGCTTGCATTAGCTGTAGCATCCCAGAAACCAGTGCTATTGGAGGGGCCCATCGGGTGTGGGAAAACCTCGCTGGTGGAGTACCTGGCCACTGTCACTGGACACAACAGTGCCACAGAGATCATGAAGGTCCAGCTGGGAGATCAGACTGACAGCAAAGTGAGGAATTGTTCTGGCCCATAAATATACAGATTTACAGGTTTTATACTTAACGGACAATATAGTGAGAAAAATAAATGGTTGGTGATTTGCATACCACCAACTGTTTAAATCAATAATGTACTGTGTGAACGTGATTCTTTTTCTGTAGTCATGGTATATGGCACAGCTGTTTCCCAATTAAAACATGTTTACAGTGTAGTAAGAAAATATTAAAATCTACCTAATATATATTTTTTAAATGTACTTGGTTTATACTTTTAATAGCTGAATTGTTGTTATATCTGACCTTTTGAAGTCTCATGTACTGACTGATACCTGTGCCTCAGATGTTGCTAGGCTTGTACCGCTGCACTGATGTTCCGGGAAAGTTTGTATGGCAGCCAGGAACTTTAACTCAAGCTGTCTCCAAAGGCCAGTGGATCCTTCTGGAGGACATTGACCATGCTCCTCTGGATGTGGTAAATATTATTTATCATAAAATGTGTTTAAGCAAATGTGTTATTAAACTTAACACCTCCTTGCTGTGTAGATCTCGGTTTTGCTTCCTCTGATGGAGAATAAAAAGTTGGTCATCCCAGGACGTGAGGATTGTATTGAGGTTGCAACAGGATTTCAATTTTTTGCAACTAGAAGGTACGAAAATTGTGACTTGAAATTAAATGTTCTTTTGTAGCAGTTGAGCATTGATAGTCTTGTTTGGTCTTTCTATATTGCAGGATGTATTACAGTAGTGGGAGCTGGCACAAACCACACAATTCTCATGCTACACTGTTGGATAAATACTGGACAAAGCTCCAAATGAGAAACATGACGCGGGAGGAGCTCAAAAAGGTGAGTCTTTCCATTTTGTAGCTAGGGTTACCTGAATATGCACTTTTCCTTTTGAGCTCAGTGTTTTCACCATGTGTACAGGTGCTGATTACTAGATACCCACAACTGTCTGTGGTCTCAGACCGGCTCTTGGATATCTACTGTCAGCTGACTGGGGATAAACACTATGAACAGGACTCCCTCCAGCCCCAGTCTTCCCCTGCGCCAGAGGAGGAGCGAACAGGCCTTTTAGAGGGACGAGCTCTGTCGCTCAGGTAGGCTTTAGTGCCACTTGATTTTAAGTTCAGAAAAAGACAAAAATAATACTGTGTATTTAAAATGCAATCTTTTTTTCGTAAGTTAATGTACCAAAACATATTCCAGTACTTGTACTCCTCACCATAGACACAGACTGAAATGTTTGTGCTGTTATCCGTTTCCATGAGCCGATGTCTTGTCCAATCCATTATAGATCAGACTGCAGTGCCCCGTACAGCCCTGACGATATCCTGTGCTTATCAAACGAATTGTTCTGTGTGTCACTCAAATGTTACATTGAAGCTAGACCATCCCTTTGGCGTGGCTCCACTGTCCATTGATCTGCAGGGACTGTAGCCTATGATTGACAGGCAGAGCCTCGCCAGCTTGTTTTGAACACAGGGAACTGAACTAAGAAGTCAAACTAACTATAGTTTATTTCAACACAAAATGTGTCAACCTACTCAAAACCTACAAAATTAATCGAGCGATAATATGAGAAATCCTGGCATAAAATGATATTTTATTGTATGTGCTCATTGTAGGACAGATGCACAAAGCATAGGCTAGGTCTAAGTCAGCTTTGTCATTGAATATATTTGTGGCCATGCCGGCTTGTCAAAGCCTGATACTGTCAGATCTCAGAAGCTAAGCAAGGCCGGGCCTGGTTTGTTCTTTGATGGAAGACTGTAGGGAAAATCAGGTGCCACAGTGGGACACCAGTTGCAAAAACTGTCATTGTGTCCTTAGGTAAGGCACTTGACCCACATTGCCTAGCATGAAAGTGGTGTGTGGATGAGTGATTGTGGGGGTCGTCGGCTGGGCCGATGGCACAAATTGGCAGCCTTGCTTCTGTCAGTCTGCCCCAGTGCAGCTGTGGCTACAATAGTAGCTTACCACCACTGAGCGTGGAATGAATGAATAATGCTCTATAAAGCGTCTTTGAGTGTCCAGAAAAGCACTATATAAAACTGATGCGTTATTATTATTATTATTATTATTACATGTTAAAGTTTCAGTAATATCTTGCTCAATGTGTTCTGATTTGATGAGTTATAATTAGTCATAAATTTGTTATAAATAATTAATTTGTAACGATAAGCAAATTAATTACTTGATTAACTGTGAAAATTGAGTGTCTTGTATTGAGTATGATTTTCTTGCCTTGTTTTTTTACAGAGACCTATTAAAATGGTGTGAACGAATCAGTGTCAACTTCAACAGTGCATCTGCAGCTACAGCTCAAAATGTCTTCCAAGAGGTTTGATCATATTTGTTGAAGGATATTTCAAATGATTCCCATTCACTGTTGTCATTAACAGCAGTTTAACTTCTTCAGGCTCTTGACTGTTTCACATCTATGTTGTCTCAACCTGAGAGCCGCCTGCAGATGGCTGAGATTATTGGCAGCAAGTTAAACATTTCCAAAGAAAAGGTAACATATAAGGGTCACCTCTTAACCCAAATTCTTTATGTAGATGATAAAAGCATATATCACTTGCTGTTTTGTCTGCAGGCCCAGCACTTCTGTGAGATGTATCAGCCCGCCTTGTCTCTGAGTGAGCTGGAGGCCACAGTTGGCAGAGTGGCTCTGGGTCGAAAGCAGACAGAAGTTGTTCAGCTGAATGTGTAAGTGGGCCATCTGACTGGACCACCTCCTCTGACCTTACTTTACACCAAATATGCATTAGCCTGCCATGCTGCCTACATCCCCCTACGGAAAATCACTCTACCACTGGGGTCCTGAATAAACTGAGCATTGATTTATAATGATACATTATGGAAAGAAGCCTGATCTAATGGTGCTCTCTACACCACATCCCAAATATTCATATTGAATGTTTCCAAAGCCAATATGACTGTAGACAGGGACACACTAGAGGGCAAATGTGACTCTATCCTCAAATAACTTAACATATAGCCATGACAACAAAGGCTCCCATGTTTTCTCCATATAACAATGAAGGACTGTATTTTCACATTCAAGGCACGTCAAATTAGCAGTAATCCAATATCTTTCTTACATTTTGATGTAGGTATTGGCATGGCACTTTTTGCCACTTTCTTTTTTCATATTCCCTGCTCTTACCATTTTAAAAATTACCCATAAATACATGAACTTTATTGGTCTTCTATGTGATTACAGATGTCACCACATGTCTGATATTCATGTGTAAGACATACAGATTTTCTTCTCCAGGAATCAACAGACTTTTGCCGCCACTCGCCCCTCGGCTGTGCTCCTGGAGCAGTTGGCAGTGTGTGTGGCCAAAGCAGAACCTGTTTTGTTGGTGGGGGAGACAGGCACTGGGAAAACATCCACTGTTCAGCACCTGGCCCAACTCACAGGTCAAACCGCCAACAGACATTTCTTTTATTGTACCACATGCTCTCAAAATAAGATAATCAACAACATCTGACTCTTTTTGCTGAACAGGCCACAGGCTGCGAGTAGTGAACATGAACCAACAGAGTGACACTGCAGATCTACTCGGGGGGTGAGCTATGCTCTCTTGATGTTGCAGCATTTCCTGTATTTTACATGAAAAGAATACTTTTGACTTTCACATTTCTGCACTGATCCTAAGTTCTCAGATTGTGTTCTTCTTTCCAGGTATAAGCCTGTTGATCATAAGCAGATCCTGCTACCTCTGCGTGAGGTGTTTGAGGAGCTCTTCTCTCAAACCTACTCCAGAAAGCAGAACCTGACATTTCTGGGCCATGTACAAACGTGCTACAGGGAGAAGAGATGGCACGACCTCCTCAGACTCATGGAGCATGTTTGCAAGTCTGCTCTCACCAAAGAACTGAAGGACAAGACCAATGGTGAGAATTTAAAACAAGATGAGTTGAAGTGCTCTGTAATGACTGTCTGTTTAGTTTCAGATATACGTGAGCAGTGGGAATCCATGTCTACCAAGCTCCAGCACACTCAGGAGCAAATTCAGGCCTGTGAGACAGCCATGGTCTTTGCATTTGTTGAGGTAAATGGTGAAAAGAATACTTGACCTTTTAATAGAGACATACCTTTGATACACACTTCAGTTTTTAAATCAACAGAAATTATCAAAATGTTACTGCTTTAAATAAATAAAAATGGCAAACTCAAATATTTTTTATATTTCTTTCCTTTTCATATGTTTTTGATTTTGATACCAAATTTCAAAGTGCTTCAAAAAGTAAATGTCGTAAATCACGTCATATGGCATCAAAAACAGATTCATACATGCTCTCTCTTCTACCTCCTAACTCCATTATTTTTCAGGAAGTGCATTCAGGTTTATTTGTTTTGATGTCCCACTTTTCAATACCTTCTTCTGTAAATGTCAGCTGCTTGTGCTCTGCTGTGTTGATCTGAATTGTAAGCTTGTGTTTGTCTACAGGGAACTTTGGCCCAGGCTGTGAGGAAGGGTCACTGGATTCTTCTGGATGAGATTAATCTGGCAGCCGCCGAGACTCTGGAGTGTTTGAGCGGATTGTTGGAGAGCAGCACTGGGTCACTGGTGCTGCTGGACCGAGGAGATGCAGGTGCTTCATCAAATCAGAGTGGTAGTGTTTAAACATAACACTAGTTTTAAATATATTATTTACCCATGTTTGTCAATGGCAGAGCCCTTGGTTCGCCATCCAGACTTCCGCTTGTTTGCCTGCATGAACCCAGCCACTGATGTCGGCAAAAGAAATCTGCCTCTTGGTCTCAGAAACAGGTGAATGGATTTGATGTGGATTTTGTTTGTTTAGCTAAAATATAAGCTCACTAGATGATGTTTGTGAATGTCTAGATTCACTGAGCTGTACGTGAATGAGCTGGAAAATGAGGCTGACCTCCGCATTTTAGTGTCTGACTACCTCAGATGCCTCAACCCAAACAGAAATATCATCAATGGCATTATAAGGTAGTGCTTTTCCTCTCTGAATGAATACAGACTATATAAAGAACACATACTTACATTGTACTAACCTATATTTAATTTATCCCTAATGCAGTTTTTACCTGGCTGTGCGGAAGGAGGCCAGATCTCGTCTGGTGGACGGGACAGGCCACAGACCTCACTACAGCCTGCGAACTCTTTGCAGAGCTCTCAGATATGTGCGTGCTAACCCATGCTACAGTCTCTATCGCTCCCTGTTTGAGGTACAACACAGAACGTTCACTACCTCCTCACATGGAGACCTCTGGGGGATTCATACTCCTTCTCTCTGCTCACAGGGCTTCTGCCTGAGCTTCTTGACCCAGCTGGACCGAAGTTCTCATCCTGTGGTGCAGAAACTGGTCTGTCAGCACATTCTGTTGGGTAACACGAAGTGTCTGAAACAGGTACTAAATAAATAAATAAATATAAATATATATAAATATAAATATATATATAAAATATATATATATATATATATATTTTTTTTTTTTCTTCTTGAATTCTAAAAAGGCTAATCCTAATATGTGTCTCACAGCCTATCCCCTGCCCCTCGGACCGCAGCTGTGTGGGAGTGGAGGGGTACTGGGTGTCTCAGGGGGACTTGGAGCCCACACAAGACCCCAGCTACATCCTTACTGCCTCTGTCAAACTCAACTTGCGGGACCTGGCCCGAGTAGTGTCTGCAGGGTAAGAATAATACCTGTGTTTTTATCATATAGCATCTAATAATATATCATTTTAACATATTTCTGATTCTTGTCAGGAGCCACCCAGTGCTGATCCAGGGAGAGACCTCTGTGGGGAAGACAAGTCTGATTCGCTGGCTCGCTACAGCTACAGGAAACCAGTGTGTGAGGATCAATAACCACGAGCACACTGACATCCAGGAGTACATTGGCTGTTACTCTTCCGACCACAGGGGCAAGCTAGTCTTCAAAGAGGGTATGCACACATAAACAATGCCACAAGTATGAAAGCATCAGTCCTGTCACACAGTCACAAATTATATGCTCCTTCAATTACAGAGGCTTGAGTTTTGTATCAGGCCCAAAGAATAAATGTAAATGCATGCTTGTTAGATGAGAAAAACCCAGTAACATGTATCTGTCACATTTCTTATTCACGTGCAGGTGTGCTAATTGATGCCATGAGGAAGGGTTACTGGATCATTTTAGACGAGCTGAACTTGGCCCCCACAGATGTGCTGGAAGCTCTGAACAGACTCCTGGATGACAACAGGGAACTGTTTGTGGCAGAGACACAAGAAGTTGTCAAGGCCCACCCCAGATTTATGCTGTTTGCCACTCAGAACCCTCCTGGAGTTTATGGGGGGAGGAAGGTAATATCTGTCTAACATGTAGTCTCTTCTCTAGCATACACTGGCATCTCATGGGGTATGTTAAACTAAAGTTGAAGAACAATCGGTACATAATTCTCTAAACAGACTCTGGGATAAGAGTAGTTTAAATATGTCGTGTTAACCTTTTGATGAATCTACTATAATGACTGTTGGGAAATTTAATTAGGGGAACACTGAATAATAGCTCTAATAAAACTCTCTGATTTTAAACCCAGGTGCTGTCCAGAGCTTTCAGAAACCGCTTTGTGGAGCTACACTTTGATGAACTACCCAGTGCAGAGCTGGAGACAATCCTGCACCAGCGCTGCAGTCTACCTCCATCCTACTGCAGTAAGCTGGTCAAAGTCATGCTTGACCTGCAGGTAATGCTTAGGCTTCTGTTTTTGTATTGTTCTTAATGGTAACCCAAAATGGTGTTAATAAGATGTCTTCTCAGTCTTTCCGCAGGGGGTCCTCTGTGTTTGCAGGGAAACACGGCTTTATCACACTGAGAGACCTGTTCCGCTGGGCTGACCGCTACAGACTGGAGGAGCAGAGCCAACCATCTCAAGACTGGCTCCAGCAGCTGGCTGATAATGGTACAAAGTTTTTGGCTTTCTTCACTACCAATAACAAGGATGGACTTTGGCTTTCAGTGTTCTTTTCAATTTTTTCTGCTCCAACTTTTTTCCTTAGAAACTTAAGAAAGTTATGGTCAATAAATATAGATATTATAGAACAGTAACTATTATTAAATCAAGTATAGAAACAATTAACATGCTATGCCATTCATTCAAATATAAAGAGTCTAGATAAGGCCCCACTTTTAGGAAAATTTGGAGAACCCCTCTGAAGTTTGTCAGGTCTGGAATCACTATTGTACTTATTCTAATTGCGCACATTTTATTCCTTTATCTTAAATTGTGTCTGAATTTGTGTCACTGAAAAATGTCTTACTAGTGAAACGATGATTGGTTGTTCTCTGCAGGGTACATGCTACTGGCAGGACGTGTACGGAAGCCTGAAGAGGACACTACTATTCGGTCCATCCTGGAGAAGCACTTTAAGCGCCGCATTCAGCCAGAGAGTCTGTTTTCTCACAAACAGCTCACCAGCCAGTTCAGTAAGTGGTTGTTGGTGCTGTTTCATGTTGTGTACAGAAATCAGAACTGACTGGCTTGATTTGACCTTTGGCCTTGTCTAGGTGAGTTGGTGGATTGTATAGAAGAAATTCCTGATGAGTTTCGCCATGTTGTTTGGACACAAAGCATGAGGAGACTGGCAGTGTTAGTGGGGAGAGCGCTTCACTTTGGAGAGTCTGTACTATTGGTTGGAGACACTGGGTAAGATGTTGTTTAAAATCAGCTTTCAAATGGCAAGCTGAAGCCATTCTTTTTATTATTTTGGACTAAAATCTATTAAAGAGTAAGACTAAAACAAATGGACTTACTTAATTTAGAAGCTATTTTCTTTGTTAATGGAAGTTTTACAATTACAGTGTAAAAAATGCATTGTTCCAGGTGTGGAAAGACTACCATCTGCCAGCTCTTTGCAGCTTTGTCCGGTTTGAAATTCTTCTCTGTAAACTGTCATCTGCACATGGAAACTTCAGATTTCTTGGGAGGACTGCGGCCTGTTCGACACTCAAACCAGGTACTGACGTGTCTTGGCATTTATAGGCTTACACTGTAAAACACTGAGACCTGTTGTCCAGAATGCACTATATTGAACAGGTGCCAATGGCAGCATTAATATTATATGCATATGTATTTTCTGTCTATGTGCAGACTGAGGATGAGGATGTCCGATTGTTTGAGTGGCATGATGGGCCCCTTGTCCAGGCACTGAAAGAGGGTGGTGTCTTTCTAATGGATGAGATTTCTCTGGCTGACGACTCTGTTTTGGAGAGACTCAACAGGTCCATATACATATACAACTACATATTACACACAGTTTACTGTAACACACCCTAATGTTTGTGCATTCAAATAATTTCAACTACCTTTTGTTTTTTAGTGTCCTGGAGACTGAGAAGACACTGGTGCTGGCAGAGAAAGGCACTGGGGACAATGACAATGTGGAGTTACTACATGCTGCACCAAGTTTCCGTTTGGTGGCCACCATGAATCCAGGGGGAGACTTTGGGAAAAAAGAGGTAAAAATACTAATACTAAAAACAAAAACAAAACATGTGGTTGTATATAAATGTAAAATTTACTCATGTCATGCACTTATACTGTTTTTTTTTTTAAACTGCCATACCATGAGGCACCTTTTGATCAACAACTTGTGCTTTTGTTTTGAATAGTTGTCTCCTGCTCTAAGGAACCGTTTTACTGAGATCTGGTGTCCACAAAACAACAGCCGCAGTGACCTCCTTCAAATCATCCGTCACAACCTTCTCCCAGGCATATCGCTGGAGGGTAACTGTTTATTGAACAAGCAGCCAAAAACTACAAATACACCTAAAACTAAAGCTGATTCTGGTATCTCAGGCCGGGACATTGCAGAGTTGATGCTGGACTTTATTGAGTGGCTGACCCAACAGGACTTTGGTCGCCGGTGTATCCTGAGTGTCAGAGACATTCTGTCCTGGGTCACTTTTCTAAATGTGGTGTGTGGAGAAAAGAACAGTGGGACCATAGACACAGCTGAGGAGGGGTGGGAGCTAAAACTGGACACAGTCACAGCCTTCATCCATGCTGCCTGTCTGGTCTACATTGACGGCCTTGGCTCAGGTCAGAACAAAGAGTGGAAATGAATAAACATAAGTTATATGATACCTAAATCTGGTACTATGAAGCTGGCCAAATGGTCATTTCTGCTGCTGTGCTTGTCATTGCAGGGACCACTGTGTCCAGTGTCGACAATGCTCTTCTGTCCCGCAGACTGTGCCTGGGCTTCCTTCAACAACATCTAGGTCACTTGATCAAACATGACCAGGAAGTGATGGAGGCTTTGAGGGTGTACGACACTAGTCTCCCTCGTGAGCCACAATGGGGAGAACACTTTTTTGGCATTCACCCATTTTACATTGATTTAGGTTTGTACAAAAATATTTTACAGATAAATCTAACATTAAACATGAGTTACATTACACATGCATAGCATTTTAAAGAGATGGGTTTCTGTTCATGAGGAAAGCAGAGTCATAACAAGACAGAAAAAGATGAGGTTTATCTGCCTTTGCTATTAGCTTTGTTTTATTGCACAGGTCCTAAGAGCGATTGCTGCAGCCTGACAGACTTCACTATTGGAGCTGGTACCACAGCAGTCAATGCTCAGAGACTTCTGCGTGCACTCAAACTCCAAAGGCCGGTGCTGCTGGAGGGCTCTCCTGGGGTGGGCAAAACAAGCCTGGTGGCAGCACTAGCTAAAGCATCTGGAAATCACCTGGTTCGAATCAATTTGTCAGAGCAAACGGTTTGTGGTTTTTAGATGCATTTATATTTTTTGTATTATTATGGAAATAAAACGTAAATTGTTTATATCGAACAAACTTTAAAAAAAAATAAAATTCTGTTCCTTAAAGGATGTAACGGATTTGTTTGGGACTGATCTGCCAGTGGAGGGAGGTAAAGGGGGAGAGTTCGCTTGGCGGGATGGCCCCCTTTTGTCAGCTCTGAAGAAGGGTCACTGGATTGTTCTGGATGAGGTGAGCATAATCCACATTTAGTGAAGTGGTCTCTTACTGAATTAGCATTTAGGCTTTATGGGACTCATCTTCTGTCCTATTAAGATAAAACGAAGTACCATATACAGTACTCTTGTGGTGCTGATGTTATAATGTTGATCTCCTCTCTATAAGTCTTTAAACTGAACAAAATCATGTCTTTTCTGTTCATAGCTGAACTTGGCTTCTCAGTCGGTGCTTGAAGGTCTTAATGCCTGCTTCGACCACAGAGCTGAGATCTACATCCCTGAACTGGCCATGAGTTTCCGGGTTCAGCACCACCAAACCAAGATCTTTGGCTGCCAGAACCCGTTCACTCAGGGTGGTGGACGCAAAGGACTTCCCAAGTCTTTTCTAAATCGATTCACCCAGGTGTTTGTGGACCAACTGACCAGCAAAGATATGGAGTTTATTTCCAATTCTATTTTCCCAAACATAAATAAGGAAATGATTGTGAAGATGGTAGAATTTAGTAACAGGGTTAGTATGACCTATAATTGTATTGTAATTTGCTTTATTGGAAATGTCAAGTTAATGTATTTTGTTGTATTTGTCCTTCCCTGTTCAGCTGGTGCAGGAGGTTTGTGTGGAGAGGCAATGGGGACACAAAGGCAGTCCCTGGGAGTTCAACCTGCGAGACATGTTTCGTTGGTGCCAGCTCATGGAAAATGACCAGTCTCCTGGTTTCTTTAACCCGGGGCAGCATGTGTCTCTAGTATATGCTGATCGGATGAGAACAGAGTCCGATAAGGCTCAGGTAACTCCTGAGAAATATGGTTTCAGACTACAGTGAAAATTTTCCTATCTTGTGTTGCTACATGTGTTACGATCCTTTTGTACATACATACTGTAAATCAGTACAGTAATTGTGCTGTCATGAAGCCTTAACTAGGCTTATTTAATAATCTTTGCTTGTTTCAGGTGTTGTCAGTATTTAGAAAGGTGTTTGGAGAGGACTCTGAGCCTTACACCAGCTCTAGACATTTTCACATGACTCCTATGAACCTACAGGTGTAATATTGTAAAGCCCTTTCTCTTCACAACCTTCAGGCACACACTCTAACATAGTGTCTGTACAGGTGGGATTCTCTGTCATCCAGCGAGGTGGTGCTGCCCCAGTCACTCTGGCCCCCCCTCTGTCAATCACCCAACAGGCACTGAGACCCCTCGAGTCCTTAATGAAGTGTGTGGAGATGGGCTGGATGACAATTCTGGTAGGCCCCACTGCTAGTGGAAAAACCAGCCTGGTGCGACTTCTGGCTCTGCTGAGTAGCCACAGACTGAGGGTCATGCCAATGAACAGCTCCATGGACACCACAGAACTGCTGGGGGGCTTCGAACAGGTCACTGAATATTATTAAAAGCTGTGCTGCTCTAGTTTGATGTTGGGGATAATTTCGCTGTCCCTTTTATAAACCGGTTTTGTTCAGTGAAGATCATAACATACACAAATCACCTGTTT